TATATTATTTAAAGTTTACCAAATGTTCTTTTATCCCGGACCAGCCCGGCAGTTACTGGACTACATAAACACTAAGACATGTCATGGCTCTCATATGACCTTAAGAACCCTCTACTATAACTAACTTACTAACTAATACATGTCTTCTTTTCAGGGGCAGGCAATCCCCAAAGACCAGTTCTCAGCCCAGCTAATGACGTCAGAAATGTCACTATCACATCGCCCTCGCAGAGCAACACGTTCAGCCACGTAGCAACAGAGTCACGCGACGTGACATCCTCCAGACATGTGACATCCAGTTCGCGTGGTGCAGTATCTATCCAGCCAACAACTGTCTGGCCACATGACGCGAAATCTTCTGAATACACTGCGCCCGTTGCCTACTCAGAGACGTCATCATCAAGTGCACCATCTGGTAGGAGTGACGTCACGTTTACCAGTCACACGCCATTTGTGACTCACGACGTGGCATTTGCCACACATGGCTCGAATGACGTGAAGTCTGAAAAGTTCACAGCGTCCACATCGCTTGGCGTAAAATTGAGAGGGCTCACGTCACCCACCACGTCCCCCACCACGTCCCCCACCACGTCACGTGGCTCGATATCAACATCAACCGAGCAGGCATCTCTTTCTTCAAGTCACGTGTCATTTCTAAGCCACTCGTCTTTTGCGTCCCATGACCTGACACCGTCAAGAAAAACGACTCCTGCGTCACGCGACGTGACGACCTCTAGGCGTGACGTGACCGCGGAGTGCCGTGACGTGATGGACACGTGCAGACAGTACCCACGTGATATGTGTCGTGACTACAGTGCGTGGGCGGCAGACAACTGTGCACGGACGTGTGGCTTTTGTGTCTCCAAAGGTAAAGCATTATTCTAGTGGCTGAAGACTTGTCGTCATCCTCATTATCATTCGCTTCACCCTCTTTCTCCTCCTCCTCCTCCTCCTCCACCTAAACCTCCACATCCCTGCCTCCTCCTCATCCTCTTCCTCCTCCTCCTCGATCAACCTTCTCCTTCTCCTCATC